ATGGCCTGGTTGAAAGAAAAGAGTATATCTACAAATTATGGTCTGGTTGAGTAAAGAGAGTTTATCTTTAAATTATGATGTGGTTGAAAGAAGAGAGCATATCTATAAATTATGGTCTGGTTGAAAGAAAAGAGTTTATATATAAATTATGTCCTGGTTGAAAGAAGAGAGCATATCAATAACTTATGGTCTGGTTGAGTAAAGAGAGTATATGTTTAAATTATGGTCTGGTTGAAAAAAGCGAGTATATAAATAATGGCCTGGTTGAAAGAAAAGAGTATATCTACAAATTATGGTCTAGTTGAGTAAAGAGAGTTTATCTTTAAATTATGATGTGGTTGAAAGAAGAGAGTTTATATATAAATTATGTCCTGGTTGAAAGAAGAGAGCATATCAATAACTTATGGTCTGGTTGAGTAAAGAGAGTATATGTTTAAATTATGGTCTGGTTGAATGAAGAAAGTATATCTAAGCACTAGGTTTTTGAGTAGTAAATTTATTCATTAATCATTTACACACAAAAAGCTAAAATTTTACAAAACATTTCTGTCAAAAAACAAAATAAACCTTGAAACCAAACTTCATAACACTAATGATATTTTGCTTAAAACTTAACTTTGACAGAATAAATTTCTTTAACTTCTTGCAACAAAAACACATTTAAAGATAACAAGTTCCACATAATTTACCAACAATACTTTATATAGATGAAAGGTATTTCACATAACATCTTTGTTTAGTTTCTTACAAACAATATTGAGAATCTAAGGATCATTTCAAGTTTTAGGTCTAGTGTAAATTAACTAGAAAATAACCTGAAATCCAAGAAAATATCATATGCAGAGTAAATAAATGCTTTCCATGATAAAGAACTTATTTTACTAAATCCAGTATCGTAGGGACAAATTAATTTTTCATATTTAGATCATTTGGTAAATGGACTGTCAACTTCAGCAGCATCTTATGTAACACGTAGGGTACATGACTGGGTCAGAGACCCCTATATTCTAGATTAAGAACTGTTGGTCAGAGGAAGGGCAGCCAATCAGCATCTGCAGCCTACATGGTTACTCTCAACCAAACAGTGGAGTTGACTATTACTTTCATAATACATCAATAGCTGAAAGTGGGGAAAGTTGGTAAGTGACATCACACTGGAATGAAAGACCTAGGACAATACATTTAAAAATTTTACTCATATAAGCACAAGTAGCACTAACACTTCTTAAAGTTTCATTACCTTTCAAGTTGTTCAGCATTGTGTCGCCACTGTACTTGGTCTTTTCTCCAACGAAGCTTATCTCCTTGGTAGGGATTTGGAGAAGGAGGGTTTTTCTCACCTGGTGAGAATACCACTTAACTTATACTAACAATGTTTATACATTTTTCTACACAAATAAGTCAAACAGTCATTACGGATGATAAATACATAATTCTTCTTGAATTTTACAATTTTTAAAGAAGAGTGTCATTCTATACAATAGTTAAGCCAAATAAAAGTGACATTTAGTGTGAAAAAACATCAAATTGTTAATACTTAAAATTTTTGGAAAAATTTGACTGTTTGGTATGTTTAGTTAAATGTGTGCTAATGAGTTTTAAAAAATTTCTTTATGAAATAAACAGCTAGACACATGCAGTCTGGAATATTCAGGGATGTTAACTATGCATTATTACCTTATTTGTGAAGTCCCTAGTCCCATCATGTGTATGGCTTAACCTATTTACTGCTAATTCACCAAATAGGGTATGGTCTGTTTCCTGCAGTTGAATGCGAGTGTGCTGTATATGGTGTACGGCTTGCAAAAAATTCCACGAGCATTTAGAGCAGCCTCAGTCAATGGTTATATTACTAATGTATTTTTACTTTAATAGTCTGCTGCACAGGAATTTATAATATTTCTATACTGAAAATGTATTTCTGATAAATACTTACCTCCTCTCACAAAATTAGCTATTCTCGTTCAGTGCTGCCCTCTATATGCGAACTTTTTCTTTATGCATGCCACAAGCCTTCTGCTCCCCCTTATTGGAATTGAAAGATTACAACATGTCTCTCATGCAAATCATCATGTATCACTTCTCCACCAACAGGAACGTAACATGCTCATGTGACTTCCTCTATACTCCCCTACCAAACATCAAATTGATGTTTGGTAGGAGACATAAGCACCAGAAGAAAGTGGGAAGGAAGGGTGGGAAGTGTGAGAAGAGGTTAGCACCTATCGAAAATATATTTTCAGTACAGGAAAATTAAAACTTCCAATACAGTACTTACCTTGATGAGGAGGAGGGACTGGTGTGAGGGAATGACAGAAGTATCCCCCGCAAACATCCGAAGGATATCCCTGGAAATGAGTCAGATCCAAAGATCATATGAGGGAACCGCACCACTTCTGAGTACACCTAAGGGCACATCCTTTGTTTTACCCACTTTTCTATTCATAGGATTGAGTTACATTATATTTATATGGTTAGGATCATTATTCTGCCACAGTTCTCTCCCACTTGGATGTGTTCCTCTCATTTTCCACCTTTATCTCCTACAAATTTCACAGATGAGCGAAGAGTATACCTGGCTGTGGGGATATATGACATGATATCCTCCTATTTGCGATATACAATTAAGAAGGAGTGAGATGTCAAAATGCAGTTCACCCCTTCGATTGGAAGCCCTCATCTTAACCTCTCATGGATGTCAGTACCCTGCAGGCAGGTTTTGGATTTAGAGTACAACCAATCAAAATATATCCTCAGATATGTTTTAGTTTGTCTATCTTCTCCCTCGATTTCCTCCGTCTGTGTTGTGGTTCTTAATCCCTCAGTTTCTTGGGTTTGAGGTGAAGATGGTATGATCATCATCCTACCCTTGCATGGAGATCAGTACCCTGTGAGCAGGATTTGGATGTAGTTGAATTTCTAAATACAGTCCATCATGCCCTAGTTACTCAGTCCTTACCACTTTCCAGTTCCAAGCCGCTGGGATGGTTGACTATGGAGGCAAACTTCTGTATAGGTTCCACATGAAGATGGCTGTAAGGGCAGTGGTGTTCCCATACTCCACTAAAAGGAAGGAGAATGAAAAGGAGGTGGAGTGACCGGAGGAACATCATCACCGGAGACAGTGCAATGGGTGACCATGAAATCCTATTCTGAAAAGCAGACCATACCGAGCTATTCACTACAGGCACGGCAGGGAAGGATGGCTATCCCCTTCTGCTTTACCCATTCAGTCCATGGGTGCTTTGGTCTGGAATGGGCATGCTTATGAAGCAATAATATCATGAGGTTATTCACCTACAAATGATCTTGTGGAACACCCCATCTCCACAATGAGCATTGCGAAGCCATGGAATATAAGGTGTGAATTAATATGGCTGGACAGTACGGATTTCAAGTTAAGAAATACCTGGTTAGGCACCACTCGCCACAGAGTGGAATCCATAAGATGAGAAATGAAGCAAGGGCCCTGAAAGGAAAAGAAAATATTAGATAGCTGAGCTAACATTATACGTAAGTAAACAGTCGTGACATCCATCTTGGTCATCTGCAAACCTGGATAAAAAGCCCACATGAGGGTGAAATAAGACTCCATGGTATAACGAGGGAGATGGAGAAAGGAATGAGGTGGAACAACCTATGACAGACCACCAGTCTCCGGTTGTCTTGGGGACAACCAACATCCTGGAATAAAACCTGGAGAAAATGATTCCCAGTTTTAAAGGCCTGTTGAAACAGAAGGTCTTGAACAAGTCTCTACCCACTGCTGGCTGGGAATGGGATCCCGAGGCAGAAAGAAGGAATGGGTATCTGTGACAAAGGGGTGGGGAAAAGCATTGGAGGACAAGTCCATCTGAAAGAACCCAAATAACCAACTGATCTGTGACAAATATCACCATAAGGGAACAAAGTCGCACAATCAAGCTCCCAGTGGAATAGCTATAAAATCTTCACCAGAACAAACAAGCTTGGATTGTTTGTGAGGAAGTGGGGTAACATCAGGATAAGGTGTTTGACATATATAACTAACAATCTCACAGTGATTAATCACAGGTAAATCCAACGATGGGTCACCCTACTCACTGAAGTGGCAAAAAGAGTGCTCATAGTAGATGTTAAACCCAAAGTGGTCACATCACCCTCAGAATTCATTGAAAATACAAAATCAAACAAAATGTTTGATAGATAATACAATGTGCAAAAAAAAAAAGACTGGAAAGTAATTGAAAATAAATTCGTTAGCTGTATAAGTAAAAATGAGTAAAAAACCATTTCAGCAATAAAACTGTTAAAGTTATGATAATGAAGCACGGGAGCAAAATTCGAAACATTTGAACACAAGCACTGTCAAACGAGAAGCAATAGTTTGGTAGGGGAGTATAGAGGGAGTCACATGAGCATTTGCATGAGAGAAATGTTGTAATCTTTCAATTCCAATAGGGGGAGCAAAAGGCCTGTGGCATGAGTGAAGAAAAAGGTTGCATATAGAGGGCAGCACTGAACGAGAATAGCTAATCTTGTGAGAGGAGGTAAGTAGAGTATTGGAATTTTATTTTTAAGAGATGCCATCATTATGACAAAGTCTTTATTTTAAAGCTTAATTTAAAAAAAATATACTTACTTTCACAAAATTAAGAAATTTGCTTTCAAAAATTTTCCAATACATGATTTACAATGTTGATTCACTGGAACGTGAGTAGACATACTAATTTTGAGAATCTTAATGGACTGTAATAATCTGCTGAATGAAAAGTGGACAAAATGTATCCTCCTTTCTATTCAAATGACAGTCGTAGTATTACCTTTTCTCCTCATCATCATTTCACTACGTGCACTGCAACTATGTCCAAGTATAGCTTCCTCAAGCTTAGACTTCATGTCTGATGTCTTCCGCAGGCTTTGTTGTCGATATTTTTGAAGGGCTTTCTTCCCCTAAAATAAAAAACATGCTAAAGATCAGTCATGAATAATACACAGTAAAATACTTATCAACAATTTACTAAAGCAAAGAGACAATGACAGTACATGGAAATTTTGGTACTGTTGAAAACAATATTACCATTTGAATTATATTTTCTCCATTTTCATACATAATTAAAATTTTAGCTAAGATTGTAGGTTGTCATTTAATATTACTTGGTTATAAAAAAAAACAGCGGTAGCAACAACATTCAATAGCATCAGAACCTCATTATTCAGTTTTACATTTACAAATTCCAGAAAAGAAACACCAGCAACAACAATATTCAACAACAATAACACATATAAACAGCTAGAATACTTAAAGACGGATAAACAACTAAGGTAGTTAGAAATGGATAAACAACTACGAAGCTTAGACACAGATAAACAATTAGGGTACTTAGAGATGGACAAACAGCTAGGGTATTTAGAAATGGATAAACAACTACGAAACTTAGACATGGATAAACAACTAGGGTACTTGGAGATGGATAAACAACTAGGGTATTTAGAAAAGGATAAACACTTGCAATACTTAGGGATGGATAAACAACTACGTAACTCAGAAAGGGCTAAATAACTAGGGTACTTAGAAATTGATAAACAGATAGAATACTTAGAGATGGATAAACAACTAGGGTATTTAGAGATAAACAGCTAGAATACTTAAGAGACAGATAAACAACTAGGGTACTTACAGATCAATAAAAAAAATAGAATACTTAAAGATGAATAAACAACTGAACATTGTGTCATTATGAATACAGAACATATTTTTTTCACCTAGTATATTAGGTCTCACAGTAAATATGTGCTATGGACCAAACAGTAATTCTATTGTTGTTTGTTTGTTTTTAATTATGCACAAAGCTACACAAGGGCTATCTGTGCTCTGCCCACCACGGGTATCGAAACCCGGTTTCTAGCGTTGTAAGTCCGCAGACATACCGCTGTGCCACTGGGGGGCGTAATTCTATTGAATAATAATACTCAGTGAAAGTAAATAGGAGGAATCATTAGCATGTCACTGACTCTTAATTTTTGTCAGTGGTCAAATACTTGAGTAACATACTGCCTAACTGTTATTACCTTATACTCAAAGCAGGAAACACATATCAAAAGTACTTCCAGAAGCTGCTGAAGACGATGGTATGGCAACTCAGCCCACCATTGTTGTAAAACTGTCTTATCGGTGTTTTTAATGATCCAAAGGAAACACATCAGCAAGTGACGAGTAGTCTCTTCTTTCAACTGGCATTTTCGATTTGACTGCAACATAAAAAAAAAACATTGTAGCCAAACTTTCCATACTAATGCTCTACATTTTAGATTATGAATAAATGTAAGACAAAAACTGTTTGTTTATTTGATTTTTCATCTGTTTCAATACAACATTAGAATTTTTTTGTGAGCTGCCATATTACAATACTTTTTAATCATACTTAAAATCTCTAAAATACAACTGTGCACACAATGTTGGATGACTAAGTCTATGCTTGCAAACTTTAAATCAAAAATTAGAACTTGATATTATAAGTACTTACTTAATACATCAAGTCATACAAAAAATTGAAATATAAAAAGAATTCTCTGCACAGGATGAACTTTATTTTTCCTACTAGTGTTTATTTGGTAACCCTAACTCCACAATTTACATTTCAGCACAATATGTTCGAGCAGAAAAACTTTAGCACGTGATATAGCCATAGGTAAATAAGACCAGATGATTCAGCACTATATCTAGATAAAATACCAGAGACCAAGTTTAAGTTCTAATCCATATACATCTTGCAGCATAAACTACAACATATACAGGACTAAACATTTTCTCTGAGTGACATTCAAGATATATTAAGTTCTTCTTTTTACTTATTATGTTCAAAATACATAAAAAGGTATTTAAAAGCTTTCACATCTGAATAGACTCCAGTCCAGTTTGGATCAGAGTGGTTATTACCTGTTGGCATGGGTCATAGTGAGAGATCATCCCACCCCCTGCAGAGCCTCTAGTGTAGACTCCTGAGCTGGCAATTGCATTAGCAACAGATTGGGGAAAGGTGGCTAAATTTTGGTCACCACCATCTTCACTTATTGAAACTGGTCGACCTAGAACATGAAAAAAAAGTTAATACCTTGGCAGAAGTATCCAAATATGATCACATAAGTGAAATGTAATTATTATCACGTTCAATATAACTTTCAAGCAATCTGAATTTTTCCAGGTTGTTATCCTACTATAAATATATTTAGATATAATGCTTATAAATTTTACTTTACCTCTGTTCTCAGTTGGCCAATCATAAAGCTGAAACAGAGAATCCATGACAATTCCAACTAGAGGCAAGTATAAAGTTGCAACTCGAGCTTTGACCTCTGGCTCCACAAACCTAGGGTCCCAGTCATGACTGGTCAACAAGTTACGGACAGTGTTGACTGCTTTAGCATGGACAGCAGGGTTACTAAAAAAAGAGATGAGAATGATTTCAAGTGGGCAGCAGAGTTACTAAATAACAGATCAGAGTGGTGTCAAGTGGACAGCAGGATTAAGTAAGAGATGAGAATGGTACCAAGTGGACAGCAGGGTTACTAAATAAGAGATCAGAGTGGTACCAAGTGGATATCAGGGTTACTAAAGAAGAAATGAGAGCGGAAACAAATGTATAGCAGGGTTACTAAATAAGTGATGAGAATAGTAACAAGTGGACAGCAAGGTTACTAAATAAAAGATCAGAGTGGTACCAAGTGGACAGCAGGGTTACTAAATAAAAAATGAGAGTGTAAATAAGTGGACAACAGGGCTACTAAATAAGAAATGAGAGTGGAAACAAGTGGACAGCAGGGTTACTAAATAAGAGTGGTATCATGTGGACATTAGAGTTACTAAATAAGAAGTCAGAGTGGTATCAAGTGGACATCAGAGTTACTAAGTAAGAGTGGTATCAAGTGGACACCAGAGTTACTAAATAAGAGTGGTATCAAGTGGACATCAGAGTTACTAAATAAGAGTGGTATTAAGTGGACAGCAAAGTTACTAAATAAGAGTGGTATCAAGTGGACAGCATAGTTACTAAATAAGAAGCCTGAGTGGTTTCAAGTGAACAGCAGAGATAACAGAGAAGTAAAGGTAAAAGTGTGTATACAAGTTATTCAGCAACAATCTTTATTACTACAGAAGTCATTTTAAAAACTAGTTATATGTTTTTACAGACGTGAACTCACTTAAATCAGTTTCAATTAAATGAAATGATCTCCTTTTATTAATCAGTGGCTATTAAATAAAATATCTTATTTAACAATTAAACTGTTTAATACAGCAGTAATTTAGTGGACCATCAGACTAACTTCAGTTCCATGACTGTGGCAAGGTCAGAGAGTACTAATCCCACCAGAAAGTGCTGATGTCGGAACTCTGTGGAGAGTTCTGCAAAACTTCCTTTCTCAGCAATTGTACTGTTGGAGGCAAAAGAACTACGTGAAGTTGATGAAGCAACACTTGGAGTAGGAGAAGTAGTAGGTGAGGGAGTAAGAGGTGTGGCAAATGGAAGATTAAGAGTCACAAAGTGCTCATGACTACAAATAATTCTCAGAAACTCCAGCTTTAGAGAAATCAAATGTCCAGCATCAGGAAAGGATGAAATTTTTGCTGCCATCTGTTTACAGTAAGTCTAGAAACGAGAGACTAAAGATAAGTTTTCAACAGAGAAAAGTACAATTATCACAAAATCACTAATTTTTCAATAGAATAACATACAAGAAAATAATTATTTTTTTGAAATGTCTTACATATGTATCCGTTTCAGAATAAATCTCACTCGAGGAAAGAAAACAAAATTACAATAACCTAGGTTTGGAAAATTAGCTTAAGTTTCAGATGAGCAATTAGGTTTGGGCTGGAGGGAGTTTGAGTACATAGCAAGAAAAACATTTTTAAACAATAATTTCATGTGTAACTCACGAGGATGGACTTTAAGATATAAATTCATGTATTTATAGGTTTGTTCAACAACTTCCACAAGGAAATATATGTTCAAAAATATAGCAACTGATCCATAAAACTATCAACAAAATAAACCTTTTAGTATTTACAAATATATTTGTATCTTGCTTGGAGTTAGTTTCTTGATTATTTTTAATGTGACATTTTTGCAAACTAATTATTTTAGTAACAATTTTTCCTTAACTAGTGTTTTAACTTAAACATCTTATACCTCTACTTTTTGTACTGCAAGTGTAGCTAGAAGTTACTATTCCTTGTTTGAATTATAAAATAGATATTAGTGATATCTATACATATAAAGCCAAAATGCGTGTTTGTTTGCACCACAACTCCTCCACGCCTATTGGGCCAATCTTAACCAAAATATGTATGTAAATACTATTAATTATGGGGAATGTCTTAAAGGGGTTAAAATTGAACTTAACCCTATTTCTATTTTGTAAAGCTTGTTGGTCAATTACGCCCAGCCCAATGGGTCAATCTCAAACAATCTTGGCAGGTTGATGCTTTAGACAATGTTGAATATTCTAAAAGTATCCAAGGTCAAAGTAAAAAGTTG